AGCAAATAATATGGAAATAAAGGAATAAAAAAATAAATGAAGTGTTTTAATTAAACAACATTTTTATCTCAATTTTATTAAAATGAATTAAATTACAATACATATTATTTTATTTTGGTAAAACAGTAAATGAAAGCCATTGCTGCAGATGATCAACGTTTCTCTCTGTACACATGTATTTTCCATTAACATGATGTGGGCAGTGTGTAATGGTTGATTGAAAAATTCCACTGCTACCGGAGGAATCATCATATCTCGTAACATCATATATGGCTGGATATGCTTGAAGTTCCTCACATTTTGCTTGTAAAAAATCAATTTTTTGACGACCTCGTACATAAATATACTCAGCAGAATGAAGTAGATATTTTTCTAGAATATTATTTATTTGATCGTATTCAATGTCACCTGAATCATATAATATTCCATGATGGGTTTTTTCCAAATAACTAACAGTCTTTCTGTTGCGATTGTTTAATTTAACGTACGGTATAGGAGGTTTAAATAAAAAGTTTGATCTCTGTCGACCGATATGAATTGATAGCTCCTTCGGATAGAAGGCGCCATCAATAGTGAAGCCTTGAATGTCAACCAGTGCTATTCTCATGACGGTTAAAATAGTACTGAACTCGCTGACGCTCACGAAAGATTTTTAAGAACCTCAGTTAGAGGGGAGTATTCCATTAATACATCATGAATAATAATACAGTATGCTTTGGTATTCTCGGGAAATCCATTATTTGCCTCAATGTCTAATTTTACATCAACGGAACCTGATTTCATGGTTTCTTCTTGTTTGGAGCAATCTATGACAAAGAGGGCGCGATTTTTAAATGCCAAATAGTCCAGGAGAATGCGCTTCTGAGTGTTTTTCGTGTAACTAGGTTGAAATTCTGAATAGTTGAAATGAGCTTCGGTAAAATGATTGTTATCAAAGTCAAGTTGTGTTCGTTCATTGGGATAGTAATCACCGTTTAAGGATAATCTGATGCTTTGGATATAAATATGATCGAAAGTCGTCGGATCAGATTGTATCTTGTCACGTTTTTCAGTTTGAAAAAACACAATAACATAACGAGGTCGTTCAACTTTAGTACTGATTTTAACCGACCAAATTTCTCTTCTAGCACTTGGAGTAAGGGCCGGTAGCTCATGCAGCTCCCATTTTCTGAACCATTTCATTATAGGGCGATTTGTTGAGATGAATTTAAGCAGTTTCTCTTTAACCTCATCGCTGGGATAGATGTGCTTGATTCTCAATTCGATACTTTCTATAACCAATTTAACTGATGTTTTTGTTAGAGCACCACTTACTGTTTTCTCCTTTATAATCACACAATCGTTATCATTTCGAGCTCGAACAAATCGAAGAGTTTGTCGACCGCACGTAATCAACGGGTAGTCGTTGAACATGTTAAAAATATGTCTAAGAGGCATTAACAAACTAAAGGATTTATCACTAGATAGTATAGGTACTGCCGGATAATTCCATCCTGCTATGGACATATGCTTTGATTCTTCAGGTGAATAGCAGGTTAAAGCTCGAACTGTGCTTACTATTCCAGGATCTCGTACTGTTTCAAGTTCTTTTCCGCTTTCACTGTAGACGCAGGAATCGAATAGGAAGGCTCCGTAATTGGGAGCTAATGTTACGTCTCCCTCTCCAGTTATGTCTAATTTTCCTTTTATAAGCATCAGAGTGTCTTGCATGAAGAAAAAAGAGTCTACTTGGTTAATACTAATTTCTACAATATCATTGCAATTGAATGATTTAACGAATGGGGCGGCAGGTCTGTATTCAATTTTGCGGATAGACTCATCGAACGTTGGAAGACTATACAAATCAAATATGGGTGAAGCAACGGTTGTAGCAGCATTACCACCACCTTCACCACTACTTAGTTGATCATGTTTTCTTTTTCTGTAAACTACAGACATTATCTTTAACTTTGTATCCAAGAGACCGTAGAAATTGGATGTTTGCAACGCTCAGCTTGTAGGGCTGTCTCAATACTAATAACTTTGAGGGTGTGTTACTTCTTATATCTAGTCCCATTTGCTTCGGGCTTGTCTGAGTTCTAAAACTATAGTACTCACTTCTCCTCGAAAATTTACAGGTTTACCTTCTTGATCTAGAGCCAACACTGTAATATTATGAATTTCTTGTTGCGGTACTACAGATAAATATAAGAGATTAGAAGGTGTTTCGTCTATTATGTAACCAGGGTCGACTTTTATAGCGAATTCGTATATCGTGTGAGCAGGTCTGTCTCCGTCGAAAGCTCCCCACGTAATGTTACAATCAAAGTGTATGCTAGACACTTTTATAATTTTAACGGGTAAATCCGAAGAATGTGTCTCATTTGGTGATAGTATTTTTTCGGAAAATCCTAGAGTCTCACCAATGTTATTGGGTTCCTTAAATGAAATTTTATAAAACTTACTGAAAATTTCACACTTAAGAGTATTATTATTAGGTTTCAATGAAAAATCCCTATCGGGATCAACGGAGTTTTCCAGACCCATCTTTTTCCGTATAAAGCTCTCGATATCGGTAATTTCATAGCTACCGGTAGGAAACTCAATTACGTGTAATTTATTTTTGGTATCGTAGTAGTAAAATTTTTCGCCATCTTCTATATTAGGTATGGAATTGTAGGAGTGAAATGATCTAAGCGCTAATTCGTACTCTTTCTTCGGATTCAATACAATAGGTGTTTGAGGTTTAAAAGAGAATATATGATTGGTGCTGTTGACTCTCAACAACTGCGACATCTCGACGACAACTGATACATTTTAAAAGCGGTAAGGATTTAAATAATACACAATACTAATGTTTAACATTTTTTAAATCTATCTAAATAACATAAAAAACATGTTGATATTGATTGAGGTGGCCCATCCCAGTGATCTCCTCCTTCTGTCGATGTATTGTAATGCTTCAGACATGGTAGATGCTGCTCAAGTCCAACTTTACATTCTTCAGGAAGCTCATCCCAAATTTGTTTTAATTCCTCAGATGTAATATGTTGCTTGAAAACTTTTTTAGGAATACGCGTCAACACCCGCTTCCATATATCCTTGTTATCCATTACACAAAAACTGTAGGCACAGATGTCCACAATTAACTTGATTATAATTTTGATATTGATCGTTATTATAGAATATTTTAACAGCTTTTCCAAAATATCGAACAAGTTCTTTCGGCGGCTTCAGATTACCAAATGAATCAAAATATTCAGCGTCGTTGTTTATCTTTTTATAAGCTACCCAGTGCGTTCCGCTATTTTTTGACGCATCTAAATTTAAAATACCACACTCACGCTGTCGAACAACAGCAGGCAGAGTATCTCGCATGAAAACACCTCGAAAATGGGGTATTTTAAGTACGTTTGCGTAATGTAACAGATCTCGATCGTACAAGGGTCTATTGGGTAGCTTGTTTAAAAGTTTTTTTGTCTTTTCAAAAAGAGACCAAATCCTCCTTTGGCGTTTCTTTTCAAGTACAATCCTTTGCCTATAGATTCCATAGCTTTGTTGTGCCGACGATCCTCTTCTAGTTTCTTTTGGGCAGTCTTAGTATCAATAACTGTTTTCGCTACAGCGCTTGCACCACCAGCGAGAGCACCGAGTGATCCTAAAGCAGCGAGAATTGGAAGTAGTGGTAATATACCTCCGGATTTATGATCAAATGGTATTATTCGCGGTAGTCTAACACGTTTTTTACCACCTGCTTTTTTTACTACAAGTTTGGCTGCTTTCAACGCATTAACCGCAGCCTTTTTTAACGTAGGTGCTGGCTTCAACGCCTTTGTAATCTTCTGAACGATTCCTCGTCTGAATGAAACATCTCCTCGTTTCCGTTTTCGTACTCCCATCCCAAAATTTCGTTTAGTCTTCATGGCTGTCGTTACGAACCAAGCAGCGGCTTTTTCACCTACACTCGAGTCTTTCGATTTAACTCGCTCCCAGGCCCTGTTTTCAAGAATCCAATCTGCTTTATGACGCTGATCTAGAGAATTATTTTGCGAATAAGCAATGTCGTGTTGTTTGCATGCGGCATCCAACGGATTAATACCGGGATCGCCGCGTGCAAGTCGCTTTTGTAGTTTTGTACCTGGCCCACAGTACTGATATCCACCCGGAATATGTAGTTCAAAGGGCAGTTTATTGATAAGAGAATTAACAACACCTTCTCCACGATGCACCAACATTAATAATGATCGGCGAGTGCAACGGTGTCTCTATTTATTATACGTCGCTACTATTGTTTGATGACACATGATGAAGGTTATTCAACAAGAACAGTCACTTCCAATTGAAAATTTAGATTTTAGCAGTGTGAATACATCAAGAAGTAAACACGGTAAATTATTACCGAATTCATTTCGGGCGATAATATGTGGACCTAGCGGGTGTGGAAAGACAAACGTTATGTTATCGTTGCTATTCAGTCCGAATGGTGCGAATTTCAAAAATGTCTATGTATATTCAAAGTCGTTGTATCAACCAAAGTACCAGCTGTTGCAAGACGTGCTGGGACAAGTTAAAGGTGTCGGATATTTCCCGTTCAAAGATAATGACGAAATTATAAGCCCTCATAAGGCTAAGGCAAATTCTATATTTATTTTTGATGATGTAGCATGTGATGGTCAACAAAAAATTCGAGAATATTACTCCATGTGTCGACATAAAGATATCGATGCAGCATATCTTTGTCAAACGTATTCCAAGATCCCTAAACAGCTGATACGCGATAATTGCAACCTAATTTTACTATTCAAACAAGATGAAATTAACCTGAAACATGTATTTGATGAACATGTGTCACCAGACATGAGTTTTGATGAATTTAAAAAAATGTGTTCAAAGTGTTGGATCGATAAATATGGTACTCTTGTTATCGCAAAAGACTTTCCTCTTAACAATGGGAGATATCGCATGGGATTTGATAAGTACATAAAAATGTAGATGCTACGCTTAATATATCACTTTGTAACATGATGTCAGACGATCGGGTTGCTATAGCTACACGTAAAAGAAAAATTGCCGAACTTGCTCGCGGTATTAGGAAAAAATATTTGTTATTTAAATTGGGTAGATCGGAAGAAGATGAATCTATAAATAAACTATTTAAACCGCTATCTGATCCGCTTAAGGAGATTGTACAATCCTCTAAGATATTAAATGAGTCCGTCGGTAGGATTAAGAAGGAGGAACCACTATTTACTCCTAAGAAAACACCATCAACACCATCGAGAATTCCTCAAATTATCCGAAAATTAAAAGAAAAAGAAGAAACGCCGTTTCTTTCTTTAGAAGAAATAGCTAGAGATGATGGTGATGGTGATGATGATGATGATGATGATAATCAAAGGTCTAGAGAAGGGCAACAAGAAGCAAGTTTTTCGGAACAAGTAATGGATGAATACCTAGAACAATATCCAGTCATGTCCCATCCATATATTAAAGCTCATTGGTCATATAGCCCGATAATAGATGATTTATATGGACCCACCTATGATCCTCCAAGTTCAAAATGGTTTCTAGGAACAAAAGAAATTGATTTCGATAAAAAAACCGGATACATTAAGATAGAGGGAAAGCAAGTACGGGGAACGCCTGGACTTTATCAACTTATTTTTTATCGTGATCCTGACGATTACAATGATGAAGATTTAGCTGCATACAAGGGATTATTAAAATTAACCGATAATTATTTAAAGAAAGATGGTAATTTAAAAGGAACAGCAAGAAATAAATGGACGCATATTCTTAAATTTATTGTTGAGCGCAAAATGCCTCCTTCAGGTAGTGGTCTCACATATAACGAAAAACCTATAGAGTACGTATATTGGGATGATCCAAATGAGCTAGTTGATCGTTTAAAACTACTAATAGCGTCTAAGGACGCCGGAAATACATCTCATGATAATGAAATTGTTGCCATTATCAACGAACTAAAAGAGGCTAATATAATACGTTAATTAAATATTTTAAGCCATTTGCATCATGAGTGTTGATAAATTCGGACGTCATTCGGGTATAACTAAGCGAAATCTTCTTCCTATTTACCGAGCAGCATTAACTTCTCGTACACCAGAAGGAGATATTGATGCCAAGGGGCACAAAATATGTAACATTAAAGAACCAACAGACGATAGCGATGCTACCAATAAGAAGTATGTTGATACTGCTGTGACGAAGTTAAAAACAACAAGAGATGCACTTATAGATGATAAAATAAGGGTTGTTAAAAAAGATTTTAAAAAATTGAAGGATGACAATAAACAACTAAATGATATTATAGTAAAGGAGCCTCCTACAGCAAGCAAAGACCTAGCTAATAAAAAATACGTAGATCAAGCTATTGCAAATTCAAAAGCATATCTTCGAGCTGACATACGAAAAGAAAGTGGTGAAATATTACATGAGGTACATCTATATGTTAAGGGCTATATTTATGAACCTTTAGAAAAAAGATTGAATGAATTAGCAAAGAAAATTGAATCCATCAAAAAACTCCCTACTCCTTAAATATAGTGTAATTTAACATGTTACATTTAGTCATGGCTTCGAAAGAAAAGATAGAAGTAGTCAACGAACTGCATAAAGATGCTCGAAAAAATTATCCTAGACGACGTACGATAATTAAAGGTTTAGATGACCTGTGGCAAATGGACTTGGCTGAAATGCGACCTTATGCACATCAAAATAAAGGATACAAAATGATAATGGTAGTGATAGATTGTTTTTCCAAATTTTTGTGGACACGCCCCCTTAAAACGAAAACTGGTGAAGAGATAACTCGGACGTTTTCGGACATTTTAACTTCGACTGCGCGATGGCCGAAAAATTTGCAAACCGATCAAGGTACTGAATTCTACAATAGCAAATTCCAAAGTTTAATGAAAAAACGAAACATTAATCACTATAATACATTTACCGTTAAGAAAGCTGCCATAGCTGAAAGAGTCATAAGAACTTTGAAATCGAAACTTTACAAATATTTTAGTTTAAACGGTACATACAAATGGATTGATGTATTACAGCAGCTGACTAAAGAATATAATAGTACAAGACATCATAAAACAGGATTCAAGCCGGAGGATGTAAATAAGTCTAATGAGAGTAAAATTCTTAAAAAATGTTACAGTCATTTAAAAATCGCAGGACCACGCAAATTTAAAGTTGGTAATATTGTACGCATATCCAAAGCGAAGCATGTATTCGATAAAGGTTACACCCCCAATTGGACAACTGAACTTTTTAAAATTATCAAAATCAAAATAACCAATCCCATTACGTACTTACTTGAAGATATGCAAGGTCAACCAATCAGCGGTGCTTTTTACGAAGAAGAATTACAAAAAACTAAAAATCCTGATATATATCTAGTTGAAAAAGTACTCAAGAAAAAAGGAAAGAAAATGTACGTTAAATGGTTAGGTTTTAATAATCGGCATAACTCTTGGATTGATAAAATTGATGTTGTTTGAACTACTTTTCGATGAGCTGCGCATGAATACACTTTCGAAAAGCAGGATGCATGATCGGAGGGTATAAATATGGATTTTTAGTAGAAAGGTACAGTCTTTAAACATGATCGATCAGCAAGACAACGACAGTGGTTACTACAGTTCTGTAACAAGCGAGTCTCACTACGAGCATGATCTCGATCAAGTTCTCCAAAAGTACGAAACAGCTGCTCAATATGAAAATTATTATCTGCTGCATACGACTTTTCCAGCTGGTGCATTTGAAATTGGATGTGGTCTAAGTCCGGCACGAACATTTAGTCCAGCCGTAATTTTACGTCAACCTTATAAAACTGAAAGTATATCATTTGGACATTACGAATGGATGGATCTCCTGGAAATGCTTAAACTACGTAATGATGATTTTTTCAACGAACCTCTCAACGCTAATATCGTTCAAGATGATTATGAGCCCGTAACGTATTCATGTGGTATGTTCTGCACAGTAACCAAATTGATCTTTGATGATACAAAATTCATTGAAATACGAAAACATGGTATGTGGTTTTGTCTAACCCAAGATGATGTTATGAATATATTAGAAGTGACAGACTTAGTGGCCCGTTGGATAGGTATGCTGGAGCAATTGGATTTTATGGACTATTATATTAAAGTGTTAGATATAATAAGACCCTTTTTTATAAGTAATAATGATTTATGGCATGTTAAGCTACAAAATTTACTTGATCTATCTAATAATGTAATGTTAAGTAATGGTCTTAGAGAATACCTATTTTATTATAAAAATAAATTTATGATTGCTTTACAAGGATTTGCAATATAAATTTTTGTTGTACTTGTAACTTTTATTTCTCCTTCTCCTCCTTCTCCATCATTTCCATAAAAAAATCATCAAAAGCGATAAAAAGCGTATCACTTTTTGATGCTTTTTCAACGCTTTTTTGTCTATCAAAAAAGCGATGAAAAGCGTTCCATTTTTCAACGCTTTTTTAACACTTTTTATCGCTTTTTTATTTTATCAAAAAGCAGCGAAAAGCGTACCGTTTTTTATTGCTTTTTCAATGCTTTTCAATGGTATTTTATCTATTTTTGATCAACCTAAAAGCGATTAAAAGCGTGTCACTTTTCGACATCTTTTTATCACTTTTTTATCGCTTTTTTCTCTACCAAAAAAGCGATGAAAAGCGTATCGTTTTTTCAACGTTTTTTCAACGTTTTTATCGCTTTTTGCATCAACAAAAAGCGATGAAAAGCTAGGCTCTTTTCAGCACCTTTTGATGCTACATATAAATATATCATCCGTCATCATGGAGGTCATTATTAAACAAGATGTCTAGGTGTATGTACGTCTTTACATTGTTGCTCCTTATCATCATAGAATCATTGCTGTTGCTGCCATCATCATCATCGTCGGTATCTGCTCAAAAGATTACAACTCAACAAGATGTTATGGGATATTTACAACGTTATGGGTATATAAATACAAGTGAAAATGCAATTACTAATATTGAAAGAGCGCTAGTCGATTTTCAAGAAACCTATAATCTTCCGGTTGATGGAACATTAAACAAAGAAACCTTACGTCTAATAAATAAACCGAGATGTACTAAGAGTGAAAATGCTTTTACTATACATTCTAAATGGAATAAAAAGCATTTAAAATGGTACTTTCCTCAAGCGACGCAGAACGCAAAGTATCTCGAAATAACCAAGAAAGCTTTTGATGTGTGGGCACAGAACACTACTCTAACATTTGAATATGTTCGCATACCTAATCCAAGAGCAGATATTACGATTGTCGTTACAAGTGCAAATCACCGCAGTCGCTATAACTGTCAAGGAAATCAAAAATGTAGTTTTTTATTTGATGGTGCAGGAGGAGAACTTGCCCACTCATATTTTCCTAATAACGATAAATGCATCGAGATTCATGTTGATAGAGATGAGGCGTGGTATATTGGAGATGGAGAAACACCTGAAGGTCAACATAACTTATTTGCGGTGCTTACTCATGAAATTGGACATGCTCTTGGATTAGGACATAGCAGTAATGGAAATGCAGTTATGTATCCCTGGTATCAAGATGAAAATCTAAACCTTGATGAAGATGATCTAATGGCAATTGAATCCTTATATGGAAGAAATCAAAAATTTGCTCAAATTCCTCAAAATATTCTAAATCAAATTTATTCAACGACAACTAAAAAACCTAAGAAATCTAATTATACAGCGATAACTAAAAAACCTACTAAAACCACTCGTTCAACGACCACTAAAGATCTAGTAAAATCAAATAATTCAACGACTGCGTCGTCAGCATCAACCGCGATGTCTAACGTTAAGAAAATCCCTCAGGAATCCTCTACAAATTTATGTAATATCAAAATACCTGATTTCATGTTTTTAGCTACTGCACCTAGTTTCCCTAACTATCGAATGTATGTAGGACACGACACCTTTTTGTGGAAATTAGATTTAAATGATATGCATATTCCACTCGCACCAGAACTCATTGCAGATTATCTTCCTAAGGAACTCAGATCTTACAGCATTTCGCATATCTTTCAAAACTCTGTTGGAGACTTGATTACAATCGCTAATCAAATGTTGTATGCAGTATCGTTTCCTAATTTAAATATTCAAAATAGTTTTAATTTACCAATTAATATTAAATCAATTAATGCTCTCTTTCAAACAAACAGCGGGCAGATATACCTGTTGTACAACAACAATCTCTATATTGAATTTAATGAAACTGGAGAAATACTAAATCGTGGACAAATAAGAGATTTGTTTCATGGAATTCCAGAAGATCTAACATCGGCATTTAGATATACAGATGGTCATATATACTTTTTCACTAACAATACCTACTATAAATACAGCGAATATACGAAAAAAGTTGTAGAAGCAGGATCCTTCAGCTGGAATCTTTTTGGAATACCATGTCCTGATGATGGTCTATTAAATCAATTAAAAACTATGTTAAGAAAAATAATTTCTTTTTATGAATAAACGGTTACTCTTTTTTTCTTTTTTTACTTTCCCACCCTCAAAATAAAACTCTTTGATAAGATTATATAATTTTTTTATTCAATTTTTATATAGTAAAATACAATATTTTTTATTAATACAATATTTTTATTAATACAGTAATTATATATTTATATACATATATATATATATATAATTTGAATACAATGTTAACAACAGCAAATGTAGTAAAATACAATATTAACAACAGCAAATGTAGTAAAATACAATAAATCTTACAAATTATTTTTTGAATAATGTCTCCATAAACTTTTTTTTATATTAAATGATAAATTATTATTAGGATTTACTTTATCATCTAAACTTAAATATTTAAAATTTTTAAACATTTTTACTTTATCTTCATATATAATGATGTCTCGGTTTATATCTTGAATGTTTTGATGAAATTTCTTCAATTTACCCCTGAATTCGTCTGAAGACATCGTAAGTCTAGATATAATTAAATATAAATTTTAGATAAATCTTCTTTTTTTATTTTTATGTAAATCCTCATCGCAATCATATCTCTCCTTTAACTCAAACACGAGTTCGTTGAAAGATTCATGACACCATGAGGATTTACGACTATAAACCTGATGTAATTCGTTTGAAACCCAAGCCCGATGAAAATGATCAAATTCAAAATTTATTATCTTGTTTTTTTCCTTAAAAATTTGATGTAAATATTTAAAACAAGATCTACATAATATTAAATTATATTTTTTTAAATTATAATAATTAAACCAAGTACAGTAGTAGTCATAATCGGTAAATATTTCCAAATCATTACTATCTCTCAAGGCTTCTCTAAGTTCTGGAGTCATTTCAAAATTTTCCTTATATTCAAAATTTATCAGAATATCATCACAGTATTCAATTGGTTCAGTTGAAATCTGTTGCCATTTATATTGACCAAATTTTTCTATAACTTTTTCTGTTAATTGCCACGGTAGTGGAGATATTAAAACAAATTTAATTATGCTATTAACATTTCTACAAATAGTTTTTATACAAATATTTTGGAGACTTTCCATTACCCTTGTTGCTGTTGTTGTTGTTGTTGTTGTTGTTGCTGTTGCGTTGTTGTTGTTGTTGTTGTTGTTGTTGTTGTTGCTGTTGTTGTTGTATATTTTTATATATACATATATTGTTTAAATCTGAAAAGAAAAAAATGAATTCAAACATTTTTATTCTTCCATTATGCTGAAATGACCTAAAGGTAGGGTATCGTGTGAGCCCGCAATTATATGACGTTTATCATCAAACGGGTTTAAGGCGATTTTAATTTGTTCAATGCTGTATACATTATGTAATTTAGATTGTATGCAGCGTTGGGTTGCATAAAATATAGAATTTTGAGACTTTTTTAAAAAATTTTGTAAACATTCTAAATAATCTTCAAATTTGATTTTATTCTTGACAACATTTGTTTTTATCCCTTTTGCCTTTTTAAATACTCCCCCCTCTACCTTAAAAGTATACTGCTTTGAGCGTAATCCTACAAAATGAGTCATTATTTTTGAATTGTTTTCATCTTTCATTAGACCTGGTACCTTTTTATTTACTAACGGTATACTCCAACGATTATTTTTAGGATAGTCGCTGGTATCGAATCTTACAATATCTTTTTTAATTACCTCTTCATATACGTCATTACACTCTATTTCATATATAAGACTATCGGTATCTGTATACAAGAGCTTACATTCATCTAGCGGAAACTTTTCTAACATATAATCATAATGAAATTCATACACGCAAATTTTCGATATATCTAAAATTGCCATTCCTACATATAATGGTTTATTAAATTCGATTCTAGATTTCTTAAGTTCGACAGCCATAAGGGATTCATCAAATATAGTGCGACTATAAAATTTTGGGCTGGAAATTAAATTTTTTGCGCCCATTCGACCATTCCAATTCCTCACTAATTTTACTACCCTATGCTTCCTCAAATTCTGCATAGTCTTGCCAAATACGGCATTGTTCATCAGTTTGTATAGATTTTTCTCAAATTCGGTTGTTGCTCGAGATCTCAATAAAGTATTAAGCTCTATATACGATTTTAACCATGGACTTTGCTTAAATTTTAATACACGATGTATCTTAGTTAAGATTAATCCGTGAGCCAAAGCTTGTTTCAAATTTTGATAATGGATAATGTATTTCTCCTTATTGCAAAGGGTAGTCATTAACTTAGACAATTTTGAACCGGGTGGAGGACGATGTTCAGCACAAAAAGGTAGATCTTTATGTTGATCATGAATATTTTGAGGGTACTCAAGATCAACCTCCAACATATACCCCTCAGGTGCATCATTAGGGATTTGGGTGACATCAATGTTGGTATCTACCCATTCGAAACCTCCGTACGGTAACGGTTGAGACATAGCCCACCCGTAGAGATTATTCACATCAAAGTACATTAAATACTTTGATGGTTTCGTAGAATCAAAATCAGACATATATTTATTGTTTGCTTCGCCATACCGATTACAGCACTGTGATATCCCTCCTCGTATACCACCCTCAAAAAATAATAACATGTCGACATCCTGTATTGTTTCTAATGCACATTTTGTATATTTAAGCATACAATCCCAAGTATAACCTGGAACTGTATAATAATGAGCGGGGTCTAAACCGTATGTTTTAAAACATGTATCTCTAAACGTTTCAAACACTGAGGCGAGTAAAAGTATATCGGTTTTCATATACAAATCGCTATAATCTCCAAGAGTTTTCAAATTGAATTTTTCCCAAACTAATTTTGCGTGGTTATAATCCGTATCAGTAATATGTTGATCCATAAGTTTATTATAGAAACTATTTTGATTTGGTAACTCTGTCTCTTCTAATCTTTCAATGTTAGTTAAATAATCATAAAAGAAAACACCCTTTCTAGTCAATAGCTTAAATTTTTCCTCATCTAAATCGAGGAATTCATTTTTAAGATCAGTAAAATTTTCTGGCTTCAAAGTTGCTGATAGTTTATCAAGCGAACATCCCATAAAACGAAATGAATCTATAAATCTAAATTTTATTGTTGTTTTCTTATCGTGAACTGTAAAACTTATATATTTTTCTTTATTTTCAGGAAGTAATGTTATTTGATTTCTTTTTGCTAAATCACGTATTATAAAATGAGCATCGTAGCCACTGAGGTTATGAAAAACAACAGGAATTACAAAAGAATTTTTATAATTTAAGTTACATTTGTTGTGGGCGTACCCTCTAAAATTACCGGTCAAATGGCAATGATCTCTAACGATCTTATCTGTGTCTTTAAAGGAATTTTTGCAAATGTGACAAGTACTAGATGCATCCTTTAGGCTCACCGCTGTGTTTAAAGGTTCTACGTTTTTCAATTTAGAAGATACAAATTTAGCAGTGTTTTCGATTTCTCTAGAAAACCAAGACATACAATCTAGACCCCTATTACTTTTATAAAACGAAAATTTATTATTATAATTACATTTAAAATACAATCCTGCACTATAAGCTTGATGTTTTTGATAGCGAGATGTTTTCGTTAACGACTTTGAACCACTACGTTTTCTTTTTTTATTAACATCAACAAATGGTTTGAGTAATGACTCGAAATCTGCATAAATAATAAATGGTACTCTTTCTTGATATACAAAATTTTTAAATTTAATGTAGGGATACTTAGGAAAATCTATTCGACAATCATCTAATTTTTCACAATAATCGATATGATTATTTAACTTCATCTCTGAATTAAAATAATTTAAACATCGATCACAAATATATTTTTTAGATTTATGTTTAGAAAGTTGTTTGTATAAAAGTCTAGATAAATTTTTAATATAACAAAAGTGATATTTAATTTCCTCTTCATCAGATTCATCATCATCGTTATCAGGTTCATAGTCGTTACCTTTGGGCTTATATTTATTTTGAATAATTAGTAAATTGACATGTTTTTCTCTTTTCTGTTTCGTTAAGTAAACAGGTGCAACAATAAACTTTGACTCAGATTGCATTTCTAACTCATAAATATTTACTGAAATATTCTCATTATTTTTTTCAAATATAGGAACCTGATTTAAGGTTACTGGGAATGTAAGCCCTTTTAAGTTTAATACATTCGTGTAATGCGGATATGAAGAAGGTCTATTATTTTTATTTTTAGAAGGATATAAGGCTGAGACTATCGACCATGCGAAGCATGCGCGATCCATGTTTCTAATATTAACACATGCTTGTTTTTTAGCAATTTCTTTAGGCAGATCAATGAAAGACGAATATCCTATACCCATTTCAAATTTGTTTATATTTATTTCTAATGAACTAATTTGATCTAAAGCCCAGTTACTATCTCTTTCTTGAAATTCAGACAACTTATTTAAAATTTTTTCTTTTACGAAAACTTCAAACCAGTAATCTAAATCAGTTCCTAAATCTATCACTTCATTCTTAGTATTAAAATATTTTTTTTCTCGTATCTCTGTCTCCCCTGTTTTCTTTATAAATTCTCCTCCTAAACATGTATTCACTTTTATCATTGGCATTTTTTTTAAAATATTTTTAATTCTATTTTTAAATAAATAAAAAGCATCATTTAAAAACTGAATGATATCTTTATGAGTTTTATTTATTATTATCCCCGTACGAATCCTACTTTCAAATACTGAAGTTATATCTCTCCATACAACCCTATTACTACGATTCTTTTTAAGACTCCCCCCACCGATTATTGAATTAAAATTTTGAATAATAATTTTAAACCTTATGAGATGGCCAACATTAGTTTGCAATTTTCGTAACGAACCAATGGCTAAATCGGCATCTCGAATAGCTAAATTACATAGTCTAATACATCTATTAATTTGATTTTTCCAAATTTCTGTCTCTGAAGGAGACAAATTTTTAGTTTTATTTAAAATTTCACACTCTACCTCCTTAAATTTTTTAATGAGCTCATCACTTATAGAACCAATTTCATCGGAATTCATTTTTTTTTATTTTTTCGTTAAATTTAAACAATATAAATATATATAAAAAATAAAAACTCACAAACTAATTTTCAATTATCTCGAATGAAATGGCGGGCTTGGGCTTTCCTACGTCTACCAACTTGCGAAATACTACTGCATACTTCAGCGGTAAATCTTGGATTATCTCCCGGTAGGCTTCGGTTACTCTTTGGGGCAGAAATGTTACCTCTTCTTTTAGCTCAAGTAGCACTGCCTCTCCGTACTTTCCTTTTGTTATTTTTGCCGCTACGATTTGGTATGGCTGATCTGGTGTCAGGTCGCTTAGTTTTCTTATTGGTTTATTTTCTTTCTCTATTAACGAGACATTTTTTAGTAAAAGAAATTTTTCACTTTCCATCTAGAACAACATTAAAAAAATAATTTGCTTTTTGTTTTGTAAAATATTAATAAAGAAATATTAAAAAAAAATATTTAAAATTGTTTAATTAAATATTTTAAAAATATTAGAAATAGCTTTCAATTGTTATGAATTTTTTTAAAAAATATTACAGCCTTCTGTTTATGAAAATATCCAAAAATTGTTTAAATATTTTAAAACATTAAAAAATAACTTTAAAATTTAAAAAATATTAGAAATAGCTTTCAATTGTTATAAATTTTTTAAAAAATATTACAGCCTTCTGTTTATGAAAATATCTCAAAATTGTTTAAATATTTTAAAACATTAAAAAATAACTTACTTTTAAATCTGTACTGAACACCACACACACACAAGTTATTAATAATATGCTATTAGGTAGGTTATAACTACTACTTCAGCTGTCGCTTGTGTACTGAATGTTTCAGGTCGAGTTTCCCCGTATTTATCTCAAATCATATTCATGCGTTGGCGGGGAGCCGATACGAGAGAACCTGCTTTGTTGTTTTCGACGTATACCAATTTAATTAGACGATTTGAATGCAAACCGCACGAGTTTCCTGCTTTTTATTTTTTAATCAGCTTGCCTTCGCTATTTACGATATATCCACTTAATTAGGTAATTTAAATTCATAGATATCAACATTCGTATCCTGTTTAATATTCATATCACCTCGCACAGTACTACCTACTCAAAATAACTTGTTGATTTGTTAAGACTCGTTTAAAAACAATCTGCATACCGATAACCACGTCGTTGACCATGAAAGCCGCGATTTTTGTATCCTGTTTATTATTCATATCACCTTGTACACGCCTCGCCAAAACCATGACGACGCGATGTTATCGGTCCGCGAAGGTCTCGTATAAATGATTAATATTTTTTTATCACATCCTGCTTCTAGTTTGCAAAATACGTTTTATAACAATTTTGTATTTTTATTATTAATTCCTAATATTTTTTTACAGCTTACTAATTACTATACATACCTATAGTTTCATATTAATTAATTCTCTCTATCTCTCTCTCGCGAATTAATTATTCATTCTTCTTCGTTTTCAAGTCTGCATAGCCCTCCTCGTCCACGACCGCCCGTAGGCCTCCTCCTCCTACCCCCCCGACCCCCCTAGGCCTCCCAGCCAACGCGACCACCCATTGAACCATCGCTTAGCCGAGACGCAAACCACTTAGCCGAGTTTCAATTGACCACCACTGACAGGTGGCGCCAACTAGCGGAGACTTTGGAAGTAGTGCCCCCGTAGCCCCACATTTATACTACTGACATCTGTCATCTGTCACTATTAAAAAACGTTTGTACTCACTTTTTTTCGTATATTATTATTTAGTTTCAGTATTTTTGCATCATCTTCTGTCTCGTATGACTCGTTAAATCCAATAAAAAGGCCTCATTCATTTTTAGAAAGTAATTATCGATTGCTTTTATATTTATCATTTCTATCCTAAAAATATGACATCTGTCATCTGTCACTATTAAAAAACGTTTGTACTCACATTTTCCGTATATATTTTATTGTTTAGTTTCGGTTTTACATCTTCTATCTTAAAAATTATGGCATCTATCATAAAAATCCAATATAAAAAGCCCCATTCTTAGACATTTAAATACACTTTTTCATTAATTACTGACATTTCAGTATGGTATCTTCGCTTATATTGTATCTTTCATTATCCTAAAAATATGACATCAGTTGTTTTTTCAACCCAAAAAGATAATAGCTATCGTTAAAGACATCTGTAAACCTTTGTACTCACTTTTCCCCTAATTATTGACATTCATTTGTTACGATATTCTTACTTATTTAGTTGCTGTATATTTCTACAAAAATAAGACATCAGTCAGTAAATTCGGTTAGTATTAGCACCACTAGGTTATTTTATACTATCTTCTGTCTATGCTATCTTCATAATATTCTCATTTTTGTTTTTAATTACATCTCTCATTAAATCCAATAGTATTAAAACTTTTGTACTCACACACATTTTCGTTTTCTGTTTTTAAAAGATTTCTATATAATAATTATCGCTGAGACGTTGTTCAAAGCAATATTATCATTTCTTGTGGTTACACATCCTGTAAAAACTCAACATATTGTTAGATATCTACGATGTATTATACGACAAAAATATATATACAGGGAAATATCTATCTAAAAGTATACACAGTGTAATAACAAAATTAATTATAAAGGCTACCGAAAATGTTTTAAATACATACGTTTTGAAAACATCAAAAATAAGAAAAAGAAAAGAAAATATCTATAGGCAATCTGTAGACAGATATCAATACCAATGCTAATAAATGTAAGTTTTCAATCAACAAACTCTTATTTACTTTTTTGTACGACTAATTCTAATGTTAGATTTCATTCAAAGTACAACAAGTATAATTTTCTACGTCAAAGCTAAGTTTTCATTCAACAAGCTCATGCAATATGAAGAGTATGAAGGACTTATACGAGAATATTTATAACAAAACATGGAGCTTAAATCATATAAAATGACAGATGCATCTTCAAGTATCATTGTCAAAAAAAAAAGTTTATATTTACTAGAACATTTTTCGCAGGAAGTCATTAACGTAAAACAGAATCCTTCCTGATATAAAATCATCTCAAAACATTAAGTTAAAAGATAAGTTATGGCATTCTACAAATATTAATGACGTCAAAATTTATATTAGCAAAAGTTTTATTTTTGACTTTTATTTTGAGTGGGTAAAAAAAGCAGAAGTCTTTAGTATTATTATTTTATTCATAAAAAGAAATAATTTTTGTTAACATAGTTTTCAATTGATTCAATATGCTATCATCAGGACATGGTACTCCAAACAGATTCCAGCTAAAGGTTCCTGCTTCTACAACTTTTCTTGTATATTCACTGTATTTATAGTAGGTATTTCGATAGAAAAAGTATATATGTCCATCTATATATCTAAATGCAGAAGTTAGATCTCCAGGAATTCCAGGAAACAGATCTCTTGTTCTTCCACGATTAAGTATTTCTCCAGTTTCATTAAATTCAATGTATATATCATTGTTGTACAACAGGTATATTCGCCCACTGTTTGTTTGAAATAGAGCATTAATAACTTTAATATTTTGAATCGGCAGATTAAAACTATGTTGAATGTTTAGATTAGGAAACGTCACTACGTACACCATTTGTTTACTGATTGTAACCAAGTCTCCAACAGAGTTTTGAAAGATATGTGAAATGTTGTGAGATTTGAGCTCTCTAGGAAGATAATCGACAATAAGTTCTGATGTGAGTGGAATATGCATATCATTTAACTCTAATTTCCACAAAAAACTTTCGTG